CCTTACAATGACGGCACAAAACAAGTCTCCTGAGTAGCCCCATTTTACAGATGTGAAAACTGAGGCACAGACAGTAGCCTCAGCTGTCCTGGTCACATGGCAAGTGAACAGCAATGCTGAGCTTTGAACTCAGGTCTCAGTGACTCAGAGTCCTGCCCTGTCCTCCCTCTTATGCTGGGAGGTGCTCAATGCGGAATCACAAGTTATTCCTTACCAAGCAACACATACATTCTTCTCCATGAAGGAAGAGGCCTGGACCTACTCAGAGACACAGCAAAGGGTCGGTAGACCATGAGTTTTCCTGGAAGAGGCATGCTTTCAGTCTGTGCCTCATGGATTGGGAGGAGCATGGACTGGAGACTGGAATGTGAGGAGGGGGAGGGGTTTAGGATGGGAGCTTGTCCCTGCAGTGGAGCTGGGAGATGGGAGCCCAGAGCTGTGTTCTATTTCTGCTGCCCACTAGCTGCATAATCTTTGTAGGTCCTGCTCCTCTCTGGGCCTTTCTTAAAGAGTCTCATTGGTCTTTGCTGGTTCTCACCGTCCAGGGAATCTAGACACCCCAGCTCCAAACCCTTTCATTAACTGAGGTGTGACTGTCTAGCTTGTGGAGTTCTCACAGGAATTAAACGAGGATGGAAATGCTGAGTATCTGAGACAAAGCCCAGCCCCAATGCTGGGCTGGGCCTGCGTGCGAGGGGACTGACTGGGAGAGTGGGGCAGAGCCCATAGTTAAAAGGACACCTTGGCTCTGGTGTGAGGGGAGAAGCAGGAGATACTGGGCCATTGAAGAGTGGCGGCAGCAACGCTGCAAAGTTTTGGCGGCCCCGACTCTGCACCAGGCAGTGGGCTTGGCTCCTTAGATGGCTTGTCTAATACTGATTGCAACCCTGAGGTAGGTGCTATCATTATCCTGCTTTTACAGATAAGGAAACTGTGGCTCAGAGGTGTCAAGTGGCTTCCTTAAGGTCACACAGCTAGTCATTCCTCCATCCGTTCAACAGACTGAACGCCTACTATGTGCTGGGCACACAGTGATCAACAGGACGTGGCGGCATCTTGACAGCACAGCAGAGGAGGCAGGGCTGGTTCCATTCCTCCTGCCCCAGGCCAGAAGAGGCCGAGGTCCGGTGGGGCTAGGGCCTGGGGAAGGGAACTGGTCAAGGCTGCAGGCTGAATGTGTGTGTCAGGATGGAGGTGGGGGCTGCCCTTAGTCTCCTCACCGTCCTCCTGGCTCAGCTGACACCAGACACCCAAGGTTAAACTCTAGAGCTGTTCAGCCTGTGGGGAGGGACAGGGGTTCCCTGAAACTCCAGAGACCTAATTCTCCCCAGACCTACTGAATCGGAGCCCCTGGGGCCGGCACCCAGGAATCTCTATTTTGGCAGATGATCTGTATTCTGACACATAGCCATGCCTGGGCTTCTTTCCCTAGAGACCTTAGGCTGCCTGTCAGAGTCCCCCTGCTCAGCCCCATCTGTAAAATGGACAGATGCCTTCCAGAGAGTTTTCAGAAGGGAAAAGAAAGGCCCTGCAGGTGGCCGGGAGTCTGGACAGCTTTCCCAAGTCACACGCAGACTAGGGTTTCCCTAAGTCTTAGCTTGGGCTCTGGGGAATGAAACTCTGTAGAGTTGTGGGGGAGGTGCACGGGCCTGTGCTCTTGGGGAAAGACGTATGAGGGAGTGAGAGGCACCGGTCGGCATGGGGCACTGCTCATGGCACAGTCACCTGAGGTCCTGGTAAACCACATAGTTCCAGAGCTGGGGTGCTCCTCAGACATCCTCCTCACATTAGCCAGCCATGGGTGAGACTGCCCCCAGGGGGTGGCCTTGGGCACCCCAGGACGATTTTCCAGTGAGGAGCACAGGTGATATATTGGTGGGGGCACCCAGTCCCCACCCCACCCCCGGCCTGCTGTCTAGCCCCGGCCTGGTCTCAGGACCCCCATGGGTGCTGTTCTTGCTGCCCGAACACCACATCCCCAATTGTGGGGGACTTTAAGACAGCAAATCTGGTTCCTCTCAGTACCTCCCTCCCCCTCAGGAGAGCAGGCCCCCAGAGAGGCTTCCCTGGAGCCTCCCTCCTCAGACCCTCCCTCCTCAGACCCTCCCTCCTCAGACCCTCCCTCCTCAGACCCTCCCTCCTCAGACCCTCCCTCAAGGAAGCAGAGCCCCCTGGGAAGCAGGCCCCACCCCCATCACAGGGAGCCCTGCTCCAGCCTCCTCAGAACCACCCAGATCACAGTCCTTGGAGAGAGGGGTTCCCTTGTCCTGCCCCCCTAATCTGGGGGACAAGGGGCCCAGAGGCCTCAGCTCTGCCCAGCCCTCCCCCTCCGGCATGGCTGAGGGATATGGCCACCCCTGGCAGGCCAGTGACGCAGGTCAGCAGCGGGGAGGCCTCCTGGGCTGGGGACGAGCCAGGGCCTGTGGAGGCCCCTCTGCCCGGCCAGATGGCCGCTGCTCTGGTGGGAGGGTTGCCAGTGTGCTGGCTGGCTCTTTACTCTGCCTTTGTCCAGCCTGAGCTTTCAGACACTGTTTGCTGAGGGGACGTGCCTCTTCCCCAGTGACTGGGTCTTTGGGATGCCCATTACCTGTACTTCCTCACCTGTGACGCCCTTACTCCCTACCCCTAGGGCCTAACTAGACCCCTCAGGGTCTAGTGTCCACACTGATCAAGCCCTGCAGGAACCCAGGGAGGTTGTCTAGGCAGCAGGCGTCCCCTCATAGTGTTCCCTTTTCCTCTGAAGCTCAGTCTGAATCAAGCCTTCATTCATTCATTCATTCATTTACCAACAAACATACGTCAAGCACCTACAACAGACTGGGTCCTGCTCTCACCCCTGGAACTCCACTGATGAACAGGACAGACAAGGTCCCTGCCCTCCTGAAGCTGACACTCAGGGGGACAAGAAAAGTAACCCACAGGTTGTATGGAGATGTGATTGAGGCTGGGGGCACATCAGAAAGGGCCGTGAATAAAGGCCTTCCAGAGGAGGGGACATCTGGGCTGAGTCTGGGTACAGGGCCTGGGGGTGTGCTTGAGGTGGTGGTGAGGGGCAAGAGTGCTGGGTGTGGAGGAGGGGAGGAGCAGGTAGTCAGGCCCGGACCGGGAAGACCTCATGGGAGTTGGATTGGACTCTGAAGGGCTTTCATGAAGGGAAGTGATATAAAATAGTCAATATTCACAAAGCTCTTCCTTTGTTGTTGGTTACTATCAAGTCAGTTCCGATTTGTGGTGACCCCATGAGCCCCATAGGATTTTCAGGGCTGTCACCTTTTGGAAGCAGAAGCAAATCACCAGGCCTGTCTTCTGAGGCACCTCAGCGTGGCTTGAACCTCCTACCTTTCGGCCAGTAGTCAAGCGCTTAACCGTGTGTGCCTCCCAGGGACTCTGGCTCTTCCTTGTAGAAGCCAGTATTTCAGATCTCTCAATAACCCTGTGGCAGGTCCTGGTATCATCCCACTTTACACGTGAGGAAACTGAGGTACTGAGAGGTTGAGTCGCTTGCTCAGTGACACACGACAGGTCAGTGGCAGAGCCAGTTTCCTGGCAGGACAGCTGTACCACGTGGGCTCTCAGTCCACAATTCCCTCACCTCCAACACAGCCTCCTTCATGAGAGTTTGTTCCCTTTGCTTGAGCAACATAAAACACACCTGTGGCCTGAAAACTGTGGAGTCCTCAAGAAGTCATGTGGTCTGCACCCCTCCCTCCAGGAGGTGGACACAGTATTAGAAGGCCCATTTTGCAGATGAGACTACAAAAGCCCAAAGGGGTTATGAGGCTTGTCTGGTACCCAGAATCAGTGCGGGGGGCTGGGGGTGAGAATTGCAGCCGGGTGTCCTGACTTTTTCCACAGCCCCAACCTCTCCACTCTGGAGAAAATCCTTAGGTTGTTCTTGTCCGTTATCTGCCTGCTCTGCCCCTTGCTAGTCAGCAGCTTCCCCCGGTGCCTAGCGCAGGGTGGTGCACGCAGCAGGTGCATATTCAGCGTCTGCAGATGGAGCGCGCTGGGCTGGCTGCTGGTGACCGAGGAGCTTTGAGCAGTGAGGTTTAGCTGAAAGGCTGAGAGCTGAGGCCTGAGGGATGCTTGGGGATTTTCTGGGGAACCAGGGAGCCAGGTGGGCTCCTTCTGTCTGGGAACAGGAAGGGCATCCCAGCCAAAGGGAATAAAATGTGCAAAGAGAAGGGAGGCCATGTGGCACATTTAAGGAACAGCAGCGGTTCTGTTGGGCCTGAGCAGGGGTGGGCTCTGAGGCTGGAGTGGGGTGGTCAGGACCAGAGGGAGGGTTTCTGCCAGGCTAAGGAGCCGAGACTTTGCCTTGGGGGGAGAGGGAGGAGGCTGGCAGGGTAGAGGGGGTAGAGGGGGAGCAGCTTCCCCGTGGGCCCTGGGAGTGAATCCTGATCTTGCTGAGTGACCTCATGCAGGTCTTGTACCCTCTCTGAGCCTCAGTTTCCCCCTTGGCACAATGTGGGGGTTGTTAGTTGCTGTTGGGGATCTCTGGTGGTGTAGTGCCTAAGGCACTTGACTGCTAACCAGAAGGCTGGCGGTTCAAACCCACCAGCCACTCCTCGGAAGGAAGATTGGGCAATCTACTTCCACAGTGACATAGCCTCGGAAACGCAAGAAGGTTCGTTGTGAGTCACATCTGACTCTATGGCAGTGAGTGAGTGAATGAGTTGCTATTGAGTCAATTCTAGCTCACAGAATTTTCAAGCCTGTGACCTTGTCTTCCGATGTGCCACTGGGTGGGTTCAAACCCACAACCTTTCTGCTAGGAGTCGAGCATTTAACCGTTTGTGCCACCCGAGGACAATTGCTCAGAACGGTCGGGCCCTATGTGGACTATTCTCTAGTTGCTGCTTCCTTACAGCCCTAACAAAGGACATAGCCCCGCCAGGTAGATATGGAATCTCTTTAATGCCCTGCTTTCTTGTTGCCACATGTAGCTTTACTCTGTGTTCGGCCAGCCCTTGTGGAGCACACATGCCGGTGGCTCGGGATCACAGGGGAGCCTCGGTCGACACGCTCTTCTTGAGCTTGAAGCCCTTCCTCTTATGGAGCCCTGTCCAGGGCAGGCCAGCCTCATGGGCCTGGGCCTGGGCGTGGGCGTGGCCCAGCTCTGAGGGGGCCGGCATCAGCGGCACTAGCGGGATCAGCATGGCTATCGGCATCAGTGGCATCAGCCCCTCTGAGGCCCCGAGGGAGGTAGGGGGCAGCTCATCAGGGTCCAAGTTGGCATCACTCCAGGCTTCGGAGCTGTCACTGGGGCCATCTGCCCCGGTGGTTTCATCCTCAGATACGATCTGAGTGACGATCTCGGCCGTGTCCTCCCCAGGACTGCTGTCTAAGGCCCCTGCCCCTTGGTCGGTGGCCTCTTCAAACTCACTGACAGCCTGGACATCCACTGTGTCCTCCTGCATCTGCTCAGAGTCAGCAGCAGAGGCTGCGTGGACCCCTGCTGCGGGCTGAGCAGGCACCTTGGCTCTGCCCTGGCCGGTCCAGAAGAGGGTGAGCTCTTGGCGACAGGCAGCCACGGCCAGGCTGGTGAGCAGAGTGCAGGACACTAGGAAGAGCAGGGTGGGCTGGCTCGTCTGTGTGAGGACTGTGGCGATAAAAGTGACCAGCAGGCCCATGGCATAGGCCAAGGTGCAGGCCATGAAGTAGACCTGGTGTGAGTGGACTTGGATGTCGAAGCGGTGACAGTAGGCCACCAGGAAGCCAGGGACCACAATGTTACCAAAGCCGAGGATGGTGAAGGGCCGGCTGCACAGAGTCAAGGCCGAGAAGCTTATCCGGGGCACTTTGAACACCATGGGCAGCCTCTTGTGGCTCAAGGAATCTGCCAGGCCTGTGGCCCCCTCCGCCATCCTGCTGTTACCGGTCCTGGTGAGGAAGGGTGTGACAAAGGCAAAGAAAACGTCAAAGGCCAGCAGGGCCAGCAGGAGGGAGGCACAGATCTTGAGTGTAGGCAGCCTCAAGCGCTGAAGGATGAAAAGGCAATAGGCCACGCCCAGCGTGTCCTGCAGGAGCCATGCCCAGCCGTCCTCATGGCGATAGGCCACCCAGAAGACGGTCACTGCCGTGCACAGGCTGGCCAGCAGCAGCTGGGGCAGCTGCAGACAGCCCCAGTAGCCAGGCAGGGGCCACTGGTATCGCTGCAGGGGCAGGTGGTGCACCAGCGGGGCCAGGCAGCTGTAGAGGCCAGTGCCAGCGCCCAGGCTAAAGATCCCGATCATGACGTAGACAAAGCAGTCGTAGAAGAAGTGAAGGAGCAGTGTGATGGAGCAGGACATGGTGACCACTGCTCCTGTCATGGCCGGCATGAGGTCCACCGGGACATCCTTGTCATCTTCCTCCTGCCCTACCTCGGCTGCCACCACCTCCAGGTGACGATGACTGCCAGGCCCCCCTCCTCCTTGGGCCCGGCGCCGTTGCAGCCAGCCAACCTCGGTCAGTCCGGCCCAATAGCCGCCCACGGCCACAGTGCCGACAGCCAGGATGAAGATGACCAGCAGGCTATAGTCGAGGATGGGCTCTGGGGGCGCATACATGGCCACATGGACGACAGAGCCATTGCGGGTGTGGCTGAGGATATCTAGCATGTCTGTGTAGTGGAGCACAGCCATGGGGATGGTGAGGTGTGGCAGGGGCTTGTAGGGGTCCCGGGGGGCTGGCGTGGTGTCTGAGCACTGCCGGCTGCTGGCCCTGCTTACGATGAGCAGCCCATGGGCACCTCGGCCCTGAGCCAGCCGGCCTTTGGCATAGAAGCTGCAGTTGCCCCTCATGACCATGGCTGTGGTGTGGCGGAGTGGCTGCTGGCTGGGGGAGCCGGGCTGGGCCTGATGGGAGTCGCCCTCACCCGGGCACCAGGGTGACATGGTGCCATCGTGCAGGGGCAGGAGGGGGGCGTGGCGCAGGTCCCGTGGCAGGGTGACATACTTGGAGCTGAACAGGACACAGTAGTCTTTGCTCCAGTTCTCCGACACCACGTGGACCACGGCGTACTCCCCTTGGGCCACGGCGCTGGTGAGGAGGAGGAGAAGGAAGCCCACGGGGAGGAGGCAGCCCAGGTGCCCCATACTGCTCAGCCTCCTACTGTTGCGTCCCCACCGGCTGTGGCTGCTCCACCCTGTTCCCTCTCCCAGAGGGTGGGTGTGGCTCCTTGTCACAGAGCAGCTTTGCCTCCTGTCCTGGAAACCAAGGCCACACCTACCCAGTCACAAAGCTGAGTCCTCCCCGGGGCCAGGACACAGCCAAGTACCTAGGGTACTGCCCCCACCCTGACTTCTGGGCAGAGAGGGCATCTGCATCCCCCTCTCTACCTGGAACCAGGGAGTTTGAAACAAGACTTGAGAGAATAAGATCGGGGATCTCAGACAGACTTCTGGTTGTGGCTTTGCTGCATACCCAGTGGGGGACCTGGGCAGACGCTTCTCCTCCTTGGAACTTCTTTATCTGCAGAGAAAGGACACTGAGCCAGAAGAGTTTCTAAGGCCCCTTGAAGCCCTGACCTCACACGTGTTGAGCACTTTTATTGAGTGTTTACTATCTAAGTGCTTCTTCTTCCCTGGTGGCCCCTTGCAAGTGGTTGTGCTCCACTACACAGACATGCTAGTGGGTACATGCTACTGTACCCACTGAGCCTGAGCTGCCAGGTGGCCTTCAATGTTGGCCCCCCCTTTGTATGGGCACATGGCCAGATTCATTTCCCAGGCTCCCTTCCAGTTAGGCATAGCCATGTGACCAAGTTCTTGCCAACAGGAATTGAGCAAAAATGACATGAGTACCTCAAGGGCTGTGGCTGAAAGACTTGGGGCTCCTGGTCCACCCTTGTCTCATGAGTAAACAAGGACTGGCCTGTGACCCAGCACTGATGATGCAGAGGAGGACAGTGTCCTAAGGGATGGGAAACACAAAGTGGAAGAGACCCGGGACCTGGGGTGTCAGCATGGAGCAGAAGAAGCCTGGGCTGTTAAAAAGAGATATGGTGTCTTCCCTAAGCCTTGAATTATGGTGGGCCTTTTTGTTACAGCAGCCTAGCTAGCCTTACCCTAACTCATCTGTTTCAGGGATGAGTGGGCCTGAGGCCTCAGGAAGCCCACACAGACTCAGCCAAAAATGTCGGAGGATTTTGTGCTGCTTGCTGGATCTCAGCATCTCCATTTTGAGTTGGGCTCTGGCCCACATTCCCTGTCTTTCTCCTGAAGTTGAACAAACTTCCAGCTGGAAAGAGAGAGCTCACATAGTGGCAAGAGCTGGAATTAGCTGTGGGCTTCCGTCTCTGTTCTAGGGCCGATGTCCTCTCACAGGTCACTGAAGACTTTCTCCAGGACACCCACAGACAGGGAGGAGTTGGGGAATGGGGTTGTCAAGGCAACTGGTGTGTGTGGGAGGCACCCTGGGGCCCCCCACACCCAGAAGGGAGGGGTTTGGGGGCTGGGGCTGGTGACCCAGGTTCCGTGCCACCTGTGTGCTCCCGCTCAATGCTCCCCGTCTAGTGCTCCCTGCCTACGTGCTGTCCTCCTCCACCTCCCCAGCAGGCACTCAGCTCCTTTTCTCTCTGATGCTGTGACATACCCCTACCCAGGATGCGCCACCAGCCACCAGCAGCCCATCAGCCTGGCGCTCTGTTTCCCACGATGCTGCTTGTTTGTTCTGTCTGTCCTACTCACTGCTCTTGGATTCTAGAGCAGAAATTGTGATTGTTGGGTGTTGTTGAGTCAATTCCAATCCAAGTCACAGTGACCCCAAAGGACAGAGTAGAACTGCCCTATAGGGCTTTCTAGGCTGGAGCCCTTATGGAAGCAGTGATCAGCTCTTTCTCCCATAGAGCCACTGGGTGGGTGTTAACTACCAACCTTTGACTCAGCAGCCAGTTAGTGCTCAGGGAACACGTATGAGATGATCAGTGTGTGTGCCTTCTTTTACAGGAGAAAGGACAAAGACTAATGGCAGGTAAGGAACTTTTCCAAGTGGTGGAGACCAGGTTCAGCCCCTGCTGTTTGGTAGTGGTGCTTCTGGCTAACCCCGTGTGGCCAAGGGGACTTGCCTGAGATGGGTGGTACTAGGTAGGAGACTGTGTGTTGCAAAAGTCGACAAAAGAGCAACTTATTAAAAACATATCTACATAATGTGAAGTGGTAACATTAAGGGGAACTAAGCCCAAAACCCAAACCCACTGCCACTTAGTTGATTCTGACTCATAGAGATCCTATAGGGCGGAATAGAACTGGCCCATAGTGTTTCCAAGGCTGTAAATCTTCATGGAAGCAGACTGCCTCATCTTTCTCCCACAGAACTGCTGGTGGGTTCAAACCACTGACCTTTTGGTTAGCAACCCAGTGCTTTAACCACTGTGCCACTGGATCTCCTAGGGGCAGTTGGATGATGGGTATATTCAGGAATAGTATTATCATTGTGATTTTTCTGTAAATGTAAAATTATTCCAAAGTCGATGTGTATTTATTTATTTATTTTAAAGACACCTAAATACTTATCCATTTTATTTTGACTCCAATGAGTAGGCGTATCATCACTGACCCTCTGTAAAGTCTCTCCTTTGATTATGAGCCCATACCTGGGAACCCTGAGCCGTCTTGTGAAATCCAACCCGTAAAACCCCATCTCCAGTTCCCAGCGTGGGATTCTTTAAAGCGGGAGAGCATTTCAAGGCGCTTGCCAGGTGGTCCACAGGGAAATCCATCTAGATTTTGACAGTTCCCTCCTGTCCAATTACTGATATTCATCTCACCCACACCTAATTCAACAGCTAAGTTTTGTGTGTGACTCATGTACATTGTGTCTCTCAGTTCGTTCAACTGAGTGTTTATAGGAAACAGCTCTGTTTGTGCTCTTCTTTTCACCCATTAATATAACATTTAATTAGATTACAAACAGTAATTACAATGACAAGATAACTGTCAGAAACACGCTTGCAACAAGCACAACTGACGATGGGGAGGGAACCACTCAGCCGGTGGGGGCGGGGGTGGAGGTGGGCAGGGCCGGGGCTTCCAGCAGACTCTGGTGCATCAGGGTGCATTGGTTGCAGGCAGTTAGGGAATAGAGGCTCGCCTTATAGGTTCTTAGGCAGCAATGTCCACAACCGGTGCCCCTCCTTGAGTGTGAGCACCTAGTGCAGCAGCCCCTGATGGACGCCACCAGAGAAGGCGCCTTCAGTCCCCCAGCTACTGGCCCCCCCTCACCGGGACCCTCAGGGCACCCCTGGCCCCTCACTGGCCTTGTCCTCAGGACAGCTCTCATGTGAGTTTCTCTGAACCTGCCAGACCAGCATGTGCTCCACTTGGGCTCCAGAAAACGGGAGTACCTCAAACAGAACTTGCTTCTGCCCTCCCACCCTGACCTGCTCTGGGGGTGCTGGCTCAAAGAATTCTCTGGAGGCTCATTTGTTCTGAGGTTCTTCCTGGGGCCCCGCTCACTGAAGGTTTTTGGGTTTTGTTTAATCACTGGTCCCCCAGACCACCAACCGCATCCCACCCCCAGCTCCCATCCCTCCAGTCCGAGCTGCTTCTCTGTTTCCACCTGGTGCCCCTGGCAGCGCCCAGCACGATGCCTCAGTCAGTCACACGAGGGGCTGATGCCCTCTGGGCCCGGCCCCGCCCAGGCTGTTCCTCCTCCCAGACTCGGCAGCCCCCTCCTCAGGTTCCACAGAGGGCTCCTATCCTTGAGGGCACCCTTCAATCTGCAGCTTTGCTCCCTCCCCACTGTGGCCTGGGCTCTCAGGGTCGCTGTCCAGGGCAGGCCGGGGCAGTGTCCCTGTCATCTGTCTGGGGTACTAGGCAGTGCCTGGAGCATTTGTCTTTATCCACTCCGGGTAGCTGAGGGTGCAGACCCCGGAGAGCGGGGAGCGGGTCTCAGCCATGTGGCTGCTCAGGAAGGATGAGAATGGTGACCAGATCACCAGGCCACCCTCACTCCCAGCTGCGTGTTCCAGAGATGGTGCAGACACAAGGAGGGCCTGGCTCATCTCCTCCCTTTGCACTACCCCAGCGAAGGAGGCAGGAGCTCGCTTCCTCCCACCCCACCGGGCTCCTGGAAGGTGCTCTCAAAGTCTCAGGTGCACTGCAAATGGCTGCCACCTCTGCTTTCTGGCCCTGCCCACGTTCCTCGTTCCTCGGTCCAGTGGCCCTTGAGGCTAGGCAGAGGCATCTGCTCAGGCCCCTTGGGAGCAGAGGGGGAGGGAGTGGCACTCTGGCGGCCAGCAGTGTCCTCTGGAACTTTCTCCAAATGCTGAACCTTCTGGGAGCCTTCAGACCGGACCTGGCCAGCCTTCTCTTGACCTGAGCCTGTCCAGCAGGATCTGCAGGGGCTGCTAGACTTCGGGGGAGAGGGGTTGAGAACGGGAGCAGGGGCAAGCCTGGGGCCACTGGATGGTGGGTAGCCTGCAGCCACACAGGAGGCTGGGCTGAGTGAAGGAAGTGGGTCCAACTCATTCGTCCAGTTTGGCTCTGAACGATGTTTGTGAGGGCGGGAAGGGCCATGGAGGGGCAGTGGGGCTGGGAGGAGCTTTACAGCAAGTTCCTGTCACACGGTGGCTGAATGCGTGGAGGCAGGTTCTCAACCAGTCATGCCACCTGCTGAATGCCCTCAGGTGGGCCTCTTAACCTCTCTGGGCTTCAATTTCCCCATCTGTTAAATGGGCACTGCAGGCCCTGTCTCCCAGGTATGAAGATTAGATGAGATCAGCACGGGACAAGCTCAGAGTTCCTGGCACCTGGTGAGCCCTGGATCAGTGACAGCACTGCTGTTGGTGAGATTCGGAAAGTAACCCCCTCAGGGGATTATAAGAGGCCCTGAGACCCCCTGAGCTGCAGGGGTGCACCTCACAGCACTGGGCAGAGGCTGGGCAGGGGAGGGGAGGCCCACACCACTGAGGTTAGGAATCATTTTGACTAGTGGAGGGCCACGGGGAACAGTGGAACCCTCGCTGCTATCACCCAGCTTGACATATCTGGGCCTGTCACCACCATCACCAGACACTTTGGAACCCTGAGGCCTCCTGGCTGCCCCTCCCCCAGAGCTGCCACATCAGCCCTGCCCTCCTGAATCCCAAGCCCCCAACACTTCAGTCAATAGAGGGGGCTGGAGAGAGCCCTGGACTTGGACAGGGAGAGTCCTGAGTTCCAGCCTCGACTCTTCTCAGTCTTCTCAGCTGTAAAATGGGTTGGTTGCTACCTCAGAGGGCTGGTGAAGGATTAGATAATAAATGTTGCCAGTGTTGTGTGGCTTGGAAAGCAACATACAAATACACAGAGGTATTACTGTATCATCTGGTGCCAAAACCTTCCTCCCTGAGGCCAGGTCTCCCCAGATCGGCCTTCCTCCCCAGGGGTCTGATGCATCAGCAGCAGAGGCCTGAGGCAGCCTGGAGGGGACACCAAGGACCCCAGGGCCAAGGCTCTGGTGTCACACTTGGAGGAGGGGGAACCAACCCGTTTGGTTCCTTCCACAAGGCTGCTCTATGTTCTTCCTCTGGGGAAGCAGGGGTGAGGGAGGGTCCCAAGAAGGAAAGGGCTCAGGTGGGCAGACTTTGAGGGGACTGCAGCCCCTGGGCATGGCGAGGAGGATTCTCCCGGGTATGACCCCCACCTTGCGGCCCCTCTGCAGTGCAGTGACGTGAGTGCTGGCCCATCACCCCCACCCACCCCAGCTGTCCATCTCCCTGCTCCACTCACAAGCAGGACTCCAGAAGGACCCCGTGGAACAAGCCTATAAAACACATCTGACATGGAAGGGTTAAACGCTGCGGTTTTGGGGGCCCAGACATCCTCAGCTGTGGCCCAAAGCAGCCCCTCACCCCTTAGAGGCTGGTGGGGGATGGCCCTGAAGCTCACCTGGACTGGTCCCCCAGCCTGCCCATGGACGCCTGCCCCCAGCTTTTCTGAAGACCACCTGCCTTGGGCTCATCTCCAGATGGAAGGAAGCCCCTTTGTTCCAGAGCTGGCAGCTCTGAGTTTCGGAGGTGGTCCCTGGCTGCGTCCTGGAGGTGGCTTGTCACCTCTCCCCTCACCCAGGACCTGGCAGTAAAACACCCAAGAGGCACAAGCAGGAAGGAGGAGGTCACGGTCCCAGCTTGGCCTTTTCAAGACACTTTGTCTAGGTCCTCCCTCACAGAAGGCCCCCAGCCCTTTAGGTACCTCCATCCTTGGGCTGCCACCCCACCCCCTGCCACACACACACACACACGCTCCCCACCAGTGTCCAGGGAAAGCCTTGAAGTCTCACTTCTCTTATGGGTTAAAGGCAGAATTGAGAGGTCTCAGCTGTGGTCATTCAAGGTTCAGTGGTTCAGTGGTCATCTCTGGTCCCTCCTGTCAGCCCGGACTCTTTATTAGACTCCTCTCCCTCCCCCACCCAGGCAGCTCTGGTAGCCATTAGCCTGTCTCTGTCCTGGTGCCCTGTCAGGATACTCGCCCTCTCCAACCTTCTTCAGCTGCAGCTGCCACAGTGGGGTCTTCTAACACACGCACTCTTCACAGCTACCTCACTTCCTGCCCTGTCCCACCGGATCCCTGAGCTCTTCTTCCCTGAGTTTGCACTGGAAACCTTGCCTCTAGGCTCACACTGGGGAACCCACACATCAAGGCCTTCTCTCTTCTGGACTCCCTGACTTGACTTCCTGCCCCAGTCACTCCTGGGAAGCACTTCTGTCCGACCCCACTACCACACCCGATTCAGGCTGTGTCCTTCCTTGGTCACTAGACCACAGCCCTTCTCTGCTGCAACTCACCTTCTTACAAAGGCCTAAATGGACCCTGGCCAGACTCATGTCCCCTCTACTACCCTCAGGGGCTCACCTAGCATCCTGTTCTTGATGGAGGTGAGTGGTATTAGGTTTCCCTGATACATGGTGAGCCCCTAGAGTATGACAGATGGCCTGCACCTCTCCGAAGCTCCCTCTCCCCCCAGCCCTGGGCAGTCAGGCCTTCACAAAAGCTAGTTGAAATGATAAATATTATTTACAACAGCTATCCCCCTCATAACCAGTACTCCAGCGTCCCAGGCCCCTGCAAACACCCACTCTGGCTGTCCAGGGCCCTGGACATGGAGGCCTGTGGGCTGGGCCAGCCCACACTGTGGACTGGCTGGGTCAGTGCCACAAGAGCCATGTGACTAGCTCCAGGCACTTGGGCAGGGAGGGCAGAGGCCCTGCCCTGTCTCTGCTAAGCAAATGGCCTTGCCCCAGAGGCTCTCTGGGTCCTAAGCTTACTGTGCTCCATAGTGTCTCCCCTGAAGCCAGTGGGATGTGTCCAAGTAATCTATGCCTGCCTCAAAGGGAGACTGGCTTTGGTTGGGGGTGTATTCCATCTTCTCACAAAGGGGGAAACACCTAGGAGGGGGAGGTGACGGGAATGGGATGAGGGTATTGTCCAGTGGGTTAGTGAGGGACAGCTGGGGGTGGCCTGCAGGGCAGTATAGGCCCAAGGGCACAAGGCAGCAAGGAAGGGCATTTCTGGTGGCAGGGCCACCACTCCAGATGACATCTTGGTGGCTTGGGAGTGCCGATTTCTAGTGATGTCTGATGATGTCATCCACTTCCTATGATGTCGCTTGGTATCTGGTGATGTCACCAGGGTTTCTGACCACATGACCTCAGTTCCTGGAGGCATCATCACGGTGGTTCAGATGCTGTCATAAGAGTTTCCCATGATGCCACTAGGGCACTGAATGGCCTGCACAGTTGCTGAGGACACCCCCCAGTCTGTTGTGGGCAGACCGTTTTGTGCTCTGGGAAAAGCTCTCTCGGAGGAACCCATGTGCTGCTCTGGGCTTTCCAGCTGGTTCTCCAGGGAGGGCTGGGGCAAGGGAGCGCCAGAGGCCCTGGGTCCGTCCTAGGTCTGTTCGTTCTTTTTCATTCATTCCTGGCCCAGACTCCATTCACTCTCATCAGCTCAGAACTCTCAGCTCAGCTGGGGGTTGCAGGAAGGGGGTCCCCCAGGCTCTCAGTGCCAGCCGCTCCCGGGGGGTGAAGGTGGAGAAGGAACCAGTCCCTTGGCAGACAGGGTGGCCAGTTGAACCTGGCCATCATCTTCCCCAAACACAGGTCTTGAGGGGCTGCTCCAAGCCTTCTAGGTCACACGGCCGTGCTCTGCTTGATGCTGTGGAAGCTGACCCGGGTGGGGGAGGTGGGGATGGACATGGCGCGGGCCACCCGGGCACGGATCGAGTGCTTGTCCTGCCATCGGTGCCACCTCTTCCGGATGGCTGAGCAGACCTTGGGCACAGGACAGAGCATGGTGTCTGAGCCAGGTCTGCAGGACCCCTCCCTGTCGAGCAGCTACACAGGCGAGCAGTGCACAGGGCCCACCCAGGAGGTGAAGCGGTCACATCATGGACATGGTCTATTTGCATGTTAGCTAGGACAGTTCGCCCAATGTCCTGCAGAAGAGCGTCTTTTTCCAACCCACACACAGACCAGCAGGGTTCCCACCCTCAACCCATAGGGATGCCCTGCCCCAGGACTTGCCCCTTCTTAACTTACAACCCACTCCACAGACTAGTGGATGACATTGAACCCCTGCTTCTGGCCTCCATGCCATCTGCTCATGAGAGCAAAGGAAGCAGACCAGGAAGGTGACAGGGACCCTCCAGAAGGATCCCCCAAGGGACTTCAGAGAGACGGGCCTCCTGCCACCCTGAGCCAGCCCTGGGCCCTGGGGGTCCTTACCTCACTGTTGAGGAAACAGTAGAACACAGACACAAAGAAGCCCTGGGGTGGAGGGAGAAGGCTGTCAAGGGACCAGGCAGATGTGCCCCCCACACACTTTGGCACCCACTGCCTCTCCCCAGCCTGCTGCTCCTCCAGGCCTTGGCCTGGAAGAATTCCCACCCAGAGGTACAGATCCGGGCTCTCCAGAGCTGGAGGCAGCTAGGCCAAGGGGCAGCAGCTGTACCTGGAAGGACTCCAGGAAGGAGTTGAAGTAGATGAAGACAACACGGGAGACCTCGTCCTCCCCGGGGTTCACGAAGAACAGCATGTACGTGATGCCCAGGAGGGGGAGCAGCACCAGGGTGGCTTTCACTGCCTTCCTGGGGGGCAGGGGCGGGAGGCCCAGAGTCACAGCCCACCCAGGAGATGCAGGCTCTGAGGCCAGGGCAGCTGGGGCTTCAGGTGGGATTGTCAGGACCGGGGCAGAGACCCTGAGTCAGAGGCTGAGGCCTCTGAGGCCCCCACGGGTGGAGGCGTGGGGAGGGAATGAGTTACCTGTACTGAATGGTCTCAGATGTCGTGGATGCCCGGAGTTTGGTCATTAGGATGCGGACGATATTGAAAAGAAAGATAAAATTGATCTGAAATTCGAACACACCAGTGATGACGGTGTGGGCATGTATGGGAGTGAGACGCTGGGGTAAGGGACAGGTCCTGGACTTAGCTTTCTGTCCCTCCTGGGGTTCATCAGCACTTGTGCATTCTGACTTGGGCCCCCACACTGGGTGGTCCCCACCTCTAGGCAGAGGGATGTTTCCGGCCCACAGCAGGCCCTGAGTGCCCCTCCCCACGTGCCCCTTGCTCCTGACCCTTGCCTAGGTTCTTACCAGCAGGACCACGATCATGGGGCCCTGGTAGATGTAGTCGGTGTACACCCCAGGCCTTTTGCCAAACCAGCACCTAGAAAGTCACACAGGGTAGGGGAGGGAAAGGGGACTATCTGGGTTCAGTTGAATGGCATGGGGGGGGCCCAGGGCAGGACTGGGGCCACAAGCCAGGATCTGGGTGCTTCAGTTCTAAACCTGGCAGAGGACCAAGCTAATTGATTCCACCATGATGCCTCAGTTATCCCATCTGCAAAATGGGCAGCATCCTCTATCATGAGAGGTAAAGTGTGCCAGGAAGGGGGGTTATGGGAAAACCCAGGGTGGCCTGGGAACTGGCTGTGTGAACCATCTCCATCCTTAGATGTGGGCCCAACACACCACTGCTTCCTGAAGTTACCCCTCGGGGTGCTTCTGTCCCTGCTTGGGCTCAGCACGCCCGCAGCTGAAGAATGGTGTTGGCGCGCTTGTCAATTGGTGGGCATCCAACAGCTAGCAATCTCTATCTGAATCTGTTTAATCGCAGCCTGAACAAGGTCAAGGTAAAGGGTTCCACCTGCATAAGGTAGAACTGCTTTGCGTTTTCCTGAGTCAGCCATCAGTAAGCTCAAGGGGAGCCTGACAGGGGGCAGGGACGGGCAAACCGGAAGTCCCATGTCCTGCCTAGTTGAGGTAAACATGCAGGCAGGCAAGGGCTGGATCTTGTGATGCATCTATAAACCAGAAATTGAGATTTTTACATGAACCTCTTGATTTCATAGATTAGCAACACTTTTTTTTTTCTTTTCCAAAATGCAGGCTGTCTGTGGACCAGGTCCAGCCAGCCTCCGTAGGGGCCTCTAGTTGTAACCTCTGGTCAACAAATTCTGAGGACTCACCTGGCTCCCTTCTGCTGCAGTGTCAGGACTTTACCACTAGGTGGGGCTTTAGAGCTGCTTGGACAGACTTTCTTCTGCTGCCCCCCATCCTTTTCCCCTCTAAGGCAAACACACACACACACACACACACACACACACACCCCTCTCTAAACTTGTTCTACCCTTTCCCTGCACTCACACTCGTGCACACTGTAGGAACAGGAGCCATTGCCCAGGGCTTGTGTTGCTCCTGTCCTGGGAACCCAGGCACTGTCCTGAACACATCACTGCTAGGCCTCCAGTCTGCAACAGTTGTGTTGATGAGCTGGACCCCCTTCCCAGCCCAGGCCCCAACTCTGCAGCTGTGCAAATGAAGTGAGTGCCAGCTGGGCTTGAGTCCGGAAAGAGGCATCTGATAAATATGGAAAATAATTTTCCAGGCTCCTTGTTACACCCAGTTCACCTGCGGAGACCCTGCCTCCAGGCAGCGTCTGCGATAGGAGGGGAGAGTGAGCTTTGTGACGGAGGCCGCCTGGAACCCCAGCCAAGAAGTGGGCTCCTGGGAACACTTCTTTGGCAAAGAAGATCCTGGTGCCTCCTCTGGTAGCCAAAAGACCGTCTCCGCCTACCTTGCATGCCTCGCGCTCTGTGGTTCCCACTCTTAGCTGCACAGTTGAGTCACCTGAACAGTTTTTGAAAATCTTGGTGCCCAGGCCACACTCCAGACCAATTGCACACAACTCTTTGGGGATGGAGCCCAGCATCAGCATTTTTTTTTTTTTAAACACTTCCCAGGTGGTTCTGATGTACAGCCAAGGTTGCAAATGACTGCAGCAGAAGTCTCGTTCTCAGGAGTGATTGGGAACACCCGAGTCTATTTTATAAGCACCCACAGGACTTCAGAGCTGGAAGGAGTCTCTGAGATCATCTGGAGTTTTCTAATTTTTATTAAATCCATGGAATCATTTGTTAAAAACAAGTCTTAATATGCATAGAAAACACTTACATAGAGTTGACTATGCGGCAGGCACTGTTCTGTGTTTTGTATGTATTCACACTACTCACACAACTCTTTGAGGTTGGCACTATTATTAGGATGCCCATTTTACAGATGAGGAAACTGTGATATGCTGCAGTAAGCAGCTTGAAGTCACACAGCTAGTTAGTGGTGGAGCCACAATTCAGATCCAGGGCAGTCTGGCTCCAGAGACACCACAATGCCTCTCGGGAAAGCCCAATATATAAGGCAGAGTCAAGAGGCCTGAAGCTGGCCCACCCAGCAGCCCATCAGGCAGAGCACTGTTAGGAAGCCTCTGCTTGAGTCTGGCCCCTCTCTTTACAGATGTAGAAACAGAGGGGGAGGTGATTTGGCCAAAGGTCCTTAAAGTGTCAGGCAGAGGGCTGCAAAACAGGAGGTGACTTACTTCTCATTGTCGTAGTACAGCTTCCCAATGGCCCAGGCCACGATGATGGGGAAAGGCACGCCTAGGGGAGAGATAAGGCTGTCCCAGAAGACCTAGGAGACCTCAGTGCAGCCCAGGGCCTGGAAGCAGCCATGCAGAGAAGCCCAACACGCCCCCTTCAAGGTGCTCCCAAGGAGGGGCACAGGGCCATGGGGCACATTGTCCCAACCTAAGCTAGCCTGGGTCTGGGCGAGAAATGGACAGCTTGGGGACAGTCCTAGGCTGGGGCAGGTGGCTGCACTCACCCCAGCCGATGCAGATGAACATCCACTTGTGCAGCCGGTTGGTGGAGTAGGTGAGCACAATGGCCGTGTGCAGGTAGCAGCCTTCGCCCAGCATCCAGAAGAAGTTGGTCACGTGGAAGTAGTTGTAGGCAGCTGTCACCAACCTGCACCAGGCCTGCCACCCCCGGCCCCATCAGTGGTGATGATGAGCCATGTGGGGGGCAAGAGGCAGGGCAGCACCCCATCCTGGAGCCTAGGGCCTCCTCTCGACAGGATTGGGTACCCTTGGAGGACCCGTTCCTGCTCTATGGGCCCCAAGCCTAGCCTCAGCCCCTCTGTGACCAGGGAAGCCCCACTAGAGTCCTTCCTGTGACTTTGGGCTTGGCCCACACTGCCTCCCTCGCCTGGGACGTACCACGTTGCTCTGGTGGACTTCAGGGCTCATGGTGAGCTGGACCACAAACCACGTGGCATTGCGTAGGATGAAGGCTGAGATGAGGTTCCAGTGGATGATGTTTCTCAGGCACCGGATGCTCCTGGGGCAGCAGGATGCATGGAAGAAGGGAGCAAGGGGAGGGGAGAAAGGATGAGGGAGAAGCCCCCAGCCTCACTCTAGACCAGACAGGGAAACGGAGGCTCCGAGCGGGGCTGACTGGCTGAGTCATGCAGGGACATGGCGGCAGAGGGGCCCCTCTTACCTGCAGTCCCCCGTGGACCAGGACTGCTCACATTCTAGGGTCCTCCCTTATTCCCATGGGGCCCCCTCCTCTCCCTGGAGTTCTAAGATTGAGGTGAGAGCTAATCAAGGCTCAGGTAGTCTCTGAAGACACATGAACCAGAACTGTGTGATCAATAGCTATCATTGCTGCCGCGTGGTCCACACCAGCTCGATGCCATGTGCTTCATGAGTTTTCTGTCCAATCCTTACAACCACCATGCAAAATGGGCATCATTCTCCCTAGCTGGGAAGAGGAAGCGAAGGCTCAGGGAAGCTGAGGAACCGGCCCAAGGACGCCCAGCTGGGATGTGTCTGCCGGATCTGGACCAGCTCTGCTCCACTCTGCACCCCGGAACACTGGAGTGTGGACAGGGTACAGGAGGCTCAGCCCCCCCTCAAGGCCCAGGGACGGGATGAGTTGCTCTCAAGATGACACCGCACTCAGATCCCCCCTCTGCAGTGTGGACTCAGCTCCTCGGAGAGAGGGCCAACATCAGAAGGCACTACAAGTGCTGCTGGTCTCCCCACTGCAATCCCTGGGAGGTGTCCCCTCCATGGTGTGTCCTGGGCTGGTCCCATCCAGCCGGCTGCTGCCCAGCCTGGCAGACCAGTCCAGGAAGCCTCCAGCCAGAAACCTCCATCCTAGCTTCTAGGCTTGATGCTCAATTCCAGCCCCACCCTCCCCATTCCTCGCACAGACCTGCCTGGCGCTGGCACACCTGCATCTCTGCCAGAAGTGCTGGGGCCCCAGGCAAGTCCAAAAACCACTCCATGGAGCCCTAATCCTTGGCGCTCCATCCAGTCACCCCAAATGAGTGTTGCCAGCCTGGTGTGGATGGCACAAGGCAAGCTTGGGCTTTGTGCCCCCACCCCTCCACCCCTAGCACTTCCTGGGTTGTGGAGGGAGGGGCTACCAGAGGTTCCAGAAGCCTCCGATCTACACCACCCCCTCCCACCGAGGAGAGGGGGCAGGACTTCCCCTCCCCAGCAGCCCCACCCTGGAGCCGCCCCTCCCTGGAGCTCCTTCACTCCACCGAGGGCCTAGGCTGTAGGAGGAGGCGGCCTGGAGCCCTCTCACCTGAGCCGCAGGAAGAGGACAAAGGCCACCAGCAGGGCCACCAGGGAGATGCAGTGGCCCAGGTAGTTGATGACGACAGCGGCATGGTAGTGCACCTTGCTCTTCTTCTGAGGCGGGAGAGAGGGACAGAGGTCCTGTGAAGCTCCCTGCCACCCACTGGGCAGTGCAGCTCTGTGAGGACAGCCCCCCATCAGTGGCCAAGGCAGAGCAGGCAATGGCCTCCCGGAGCCCCTACGCTGTGCCAAGCGCTGCCCTAAAGCAGGGCTGCCCAGAGTGAGGCTGTGGTTCTGAATGTCAGGCTCTGTCCGCTGCGCCATGTTGTTGGTCAAAGGTTGAGTCTCCCTCATACAGACTTCCTGCTCTGCACACAGGCACAACTCACAGTCGTGTTCCCTTGCCCTCATCTGGCCACAGCCTCATTCAGTCCAACAGCATGCAGCCCTACTGGGTGCAGAGATGCCATGCTCTAGGACTCTACTCCTTCACCCATTTCCCAGTTGAACACTTACCTTCTGGGTCACCCCTAAAGCCCTGTGGGTATTGTAGATGCTGCTCCCCTCACCGAGCAGGCTGGGAGAAGCTGCTGTATGTTAACATCCACAGCATCGCTGGAAAGCCTTAAAGAAATCTCCTAGGTGCATATCTTGCTTCCAGGCCCTTCCCTAGCCCCAGCCCAGAGGGTCTGCTCAAAGGGAACAGGTTCCTCTCCCAGGACTGTACCAAATACCCCAATTTTACATCCTGATTCATTTAATACACTGATGGCAGCTGAAAAATGCCACCGTTTTCCTCATTCTAATAAACTTAAGCCCTGGGAATAATGGAGCCTTTGTCATTGACAGAATATTTCATCTGTTTCCTTCCCCAACTCTCAAGGCACCCCTGTGGCGAGAGTTGGAAGGGTTCATTTGCAGAAACACAGGCTCGGAGGGGTGCCGGCTTGCTCAAGATCACCCATCTGCAAGACTGCCTCCACCTCCACAGCTGAGGGTGCCAGGGGGTCCCTGTCTCATAAATGGGGGATGACTGGCTCCCTGCACCTCGCTGTTTGAGCTCTGCTGGCATAGTGCCTAAGGCATTTGACTGCTAACCAGAAGGCTGGCGGTTCAAACCCAGCTACTCCTCAGGAGGAAGACTGGGCAATCTACTTCCATAGTGATACCGCCTTGGAAACCCACAGAGGGGTCGCTGTGAGTCAGGTCTTACTCTACAGCAGTGAGTTTGGTTTGGTTTTATGTAATCTTTATGGAAGCAGACTGCCTCATCTTTCTCCTATGGGGCGGCTGGTGGGTTCACACCGCTGATCTTTCAGTTAGCAGCCGAACGCTTAACCACTGAACCACCAGGGATTCTGGGTTGGGTCCCAAACCAAACACACTGCCATCGAGTCAATTCCAACTCATACAGACCCTACAGGACAGGGTAGAACTGCCCCATTGGGTTTCCATGGCTATAAATTTTTACAGAAGCAATCTGCCTCATCTTTCTCCCAAGGAGAGGCTGTGGGCTCAAAACACTGACGTTTTGGTTAGCAGTTGAATGCTTTAACCACTACACCACCAAAGCCCCTTGGTTAGGCCCCAGGGAGGTGTAAACGGAGGGAAAAAGGCGGGGCAGGGGAAGGCAGAAAAGGAAAAGAAATAGAAGAGGAGGGGGAGGAAGTGGAGGGGACCCATCGCCCCCAAGCAAACGAGGAGGGTCTCAGAGGGTCTCTGAGAGTCTGGTAGCAGATGCCCAACTCTGCAATTCCGAAAGATGCACATATCACAGCCCGTCTGGAGCTGGCACTTAATTTCCTTTTATTAAATCTTCCACAAGCCCACGCTGAAAAGGCTGTGGGTAACAACATAAGTGGAGCCCAGGATGGCGTGACAGTCTGGCTTCCTCACAAGGCCCAGGTCTGCTGCCCCTGCAAGACCCCACCAGACCATGCCTGTGGCTCTGTGGGAAGGACCCATTTACTGAGCACCTACTGTGTGCTGGGGCCTGGGCCAGGCACTTTACAGACGTGGCTGCTTTTCATTTTTACAAATGCCCTCAGAGACTCATACTTTTGTCCCTGTTTCTCCAGTTACAGAGGCTGAATAATTGGCCCAAGCCATTCCAGTCTGCCTGGCTAGTGTGCTTGGCTTTAAAGTCCCTCTTGTCCCTGACCCCGGGGTGCATTTCTTGAGGGACAAGAAAGACTGAAAACAGAGGCTCTCTCTGGGGAGGGTGACTCCAGTGGAGGGAGATGGGGTATGGGGGGGCTGAGACAGGGAGTGGGGGCTGGTGCAGTGTGGTGCTAGGGGTCAGCACACAAGCTAGGCTCCCCAATTCTGGGCCTGTCCACTGGGGGTGACAGTGGTGAGCAGGTCTCACCAGGCCTGGGACTCCCAGGGTGCCCTGGCAAGTTCCATTTCACGAGTGGCCATTTCTGTGAATCCATTACATGCAACACCCCAGGGCCCTGGCGTTTAATTAGGGCTTAGCCCAGGCCAGAGAGCCCAGAGCCGAGAAACCGCTGCTCAATTAATTGGATCCTTTCCTCTTTGCAGTTTCAGGAGGGGAAGAGGGAGTCTTGAGGATGCGGAGGGGTCTGCTGAGGCTGGGGGCTGGCAGAAGGGGATGGATTTTCACTAATTAAGTTAACTGATTACCCAGAGTGCTAGGCAACTGTGCCAGCAGGGGCTGCCAAGAAGGGGGTTCCAGAACCAGGCAGAGGTGGGCCAGGGTGGGGGTGGGGGCAGCAGGTGCAGGGCATCTGGTCACCACATGGAGGGAGGAGTGGAAGGCAGTCCCACTGAGTCAGAAATCAGAGAAGTGGGGTGCACAAGTTAGCTGTGGTCTCCTCATCGATGCCCCTTACCTTGCAGGTGTACAACCTTCCCTGACTTCCTTAAGGGGACACAGAGACGGAGGGTGGGAAATGGATGGAGTGCCTTCCACCTGCCGAGACACAGGCAGGGCCATCCTCCCAGCCACGGGGAGGTAGGCATTTGTATTATTCCTGTGATTTTACAGCTGGGATTTAGAGACACTAAGCTACCTGCCCAATAGCGCACGCACAGAGTATAGGTGCTGGCCCTAGAATCCAAACCCCAAACCATCTGCCCCCATGCTGTCCTCATGATACTGCCCAAGAGGGGGCCTGTGAGACACTGAGGCTCCCCGATCCTCTTTCTCAGCCTAACCCTGCTGGCCTGGCAAAGAAGGGAGAGTCTCCTGAACTAGAAGGGGAGGCTAAGGAAGCTGACTTACAGTTTTTGAGTTTTCAAAGGATGTGGGGGTGGGTAGGGCTACTGTGCTCCTCCCCCTGCTGCAACAGACTCGAAAGAAAAAACCAAACTCACTGCCGTGGAGTCAGATTCGACTCACAGCGACCACTCCTTGGGTTTCCGAGGTGGTATCTCTACAGAAGTAGATTGCCCAGCCTTCTTTCCGAGGAGTGGCTGGTGGACTTGAAACACCAGCTTCCGGTTAGCAGTCAGATGCCTTAGGCACTATGCCACCAGAGCTCCTTCAGTTTTGCCCAAAGCAGGACGGCTCACACCACAGACTCCCATGGGCCTGCTGAGCCTGAGTCCAGAGACATGGCTGGACCTGGAGGTCAGGTCGCCAGCTCCCCACTGTCGGACAGATAACCCTTGCCCCAGCCCCAGAGTGGCGAGCATCTATCCCCTTCTTGAACATCCACAAAACTGGAGAGGGCTGGGCGATCTACTTCCATAGATTGAAGGAAGGCTGGGCTATCTACTTCTGTAGAGATACCACCTTGAAAACCCAAGGAGGAGTCACTATGAGTCAGAACCAACTTGATGGCAGTGAGTTTGGTTGGGTGGTCTTAAGAGTCGCTGACAGCACTGATGTGCTTTTCTGAGCACAGGTCCCATTTCCCTTCCTCCCAGCCCCTCTGCTGTGTGCCACGTGAGGGTTATCCACCCGCCTGAGTCATCTTCTTGCCACCCCTCCCCAAGTCCATCTCCACTGGCCCAACTGTGGTTGCTGACATGGATCACTCACTGCCCTCATCCAACAGGAGTTGTCTCATCCCCAATCCTAAGACCTGCCAGGCGGCTCACTGTGTGGGTACTTAGGAACTGGGGCTATCTTTGCTCAGGTCAGGTCCTCAGGGAGCTGGATAACCTATGCCAGTGATCTGAGATGCAGGAGTCCCTCACCCACATCCACCCTGCCAGCAGCACCAGCAGACGGCATTAGGCTAAGCATGGCCCTATGTGTACAGCTTTTGGAAGGAGTCCCCTAAGTCCCAAGAGCTCCATGGCATAAGGGCAGGAAGCCTGGGGCAGAGGTGAACCAAAGGGCTCAGGGCCAGGGTGAGGTGCTATGGATGGGGAAAAGCTGTTTTTCCCCCATTCCCCTTGTTTTCCAGGGTCCCTGGCAAAGGGGAGTGTGGACTGGGAAGCCCCTAGTTCTAAGCTCTGACTCTCTCTGCCCATGTGACCCTTCCTGCCTCAGTTACTCTCCCTTTCCAGCCCCTAGTCTCCCCATCTGTAAAATGAATGGGTTGCACTGGACCACAGTTTCTCACTGTTGCTTCGTCAGAAGGCTCCCCTGAGGCACTTGTTAAAAATACACATTCCCAGGCCCTCCTTAGTGATTTTGATTCACTGGGTTTTGGGTGCAACCCTGGAACCTGTATTTGAACACATGCTCTGGGTGATTCTTATTACTGGGCAAGTCTAGGAACCTCAAGACAGGATGGAGGGTCTCCAAGGACGCTTTGTTGTTGTTATGTGCCGTTGAGTCAGAGCTGACTCATAGCAACCCCTCCTTGGGTTTCCAAGGTGGTGTCACTACAGAAGTAGATTGCCCAAGCTTCCTTCCGAGGAATGGCTGGTCGGTTTGAACTGCCAGCCTTCTGGTAAGCAGTCAAGTGCCTTTGGCACTATGCTACCAGAGCTCCCCCAAGGACCCTTTAGGCGCTGGAATTCTTGGAACTATCTGGGCCAGCCCTCAGCCCCGCTGCCTAGAAGCCTGGGCCCTTGAACAGTCTGGAGGGCATCCTCTCCTCTGCCCTTTGTTTTCTGCTCACCCATTCTTCCAGCTCCATGGCCCCTACCTTTCTTAGCACCCACTGAAAGGCGGGTGGAGTGTAGGGGAGAGGACACAGGGAGCAGGGGGTAGGAGCAACATCAGGCAGATAGATATATACACGCATCTGCCAAATGTCATCCTTAAAAGATTATTCATTGCAGCATTGTCTGTAGTCACTGAAGACTGAGAATAAAGATTGGTTAAATAAATTACATCCATCTGTACAAAGTGATATTATGCAAATGTAAAAAAGAATGAAGATTCTCTTTGTGTTCTAAGACGAAACACTCTCCAAGATGGATGGTTATGTGAGCAAACTCATGGTGCCAAACGGTGTCTAATATGCAACATTTCAGTGAAAATAAAAAAGAATAGAAACACATCATTATTTGTAAATGCAGAGAGGCTCTTTGGAAGGACCCACAATAAACTGGCAAAACAGTGGCCTTCAGGGAGTAGCTGGCATCTGGGTGACAGGAAGACTTTTCACTGTGTTCCCATTTGAACCTTTTGAATTTTGTGTATTGTATATGTCATTCCAACTCAAAAACATTTGAAATTTTAAAAGGACCTCCAAAGGCTTTTTCAAACAGTACAGCTGCCTCCACCCCCAGCCTGACTCTGATACGGCCCTGGTGTTGGGCTTTCATGTGTTTCTCAGGAGAGCTGACGGGAAGATGGATGAGAATCCCCTGGTTGTGCCTGGGGTGGCCCCAGCACACACGCCACCCAGTGAACACGGGAGGAAGGAGGGAAGGAGCAAGGACCCAGCAGCTGCACGTGCTCAGCCTCACCTCCTCATTGAGAATCTCCTGACACTCGGAGTAGTTCACGCGGACAGCCCAGCTGCCATTGGCCAGGCACTCACGGTAGCTGTTTTCTGGACAAAGAAAAGGGAATCAGAGGGATCCAGCCTGGGCGTCTGTCTTCTTGTCTGTCCATCTTGCCCTCCTTCCTGGGCCGGCAGAGGGGCCTCCCCTGCTGGTGGGCTCTGGCATGAAATTTGGGAGAGGGGCTTCCTTACTGACTCTATCTTCCTGCCTCTTTCTGCCTATTGGCCCCCAAGAGGGGTATAGGGTGGCTGCACCAGCACCTGCCTGTGGGACCCTGGCTCTCCCCACCAAGCCTGGCACAGTCATGCCCACGGACGGGCCTATGGACAGGGTTGGCCAGCTCATTAGGCTGTACCCCTTGCAGGTCCTTACATGCTGGCAAATGACCTGGTGGTCTCTCTTCAGAAACCTCCCACGTCATGGTCTCACATGGTAGCAAAAATGAACAGTGGGTCCTCGTGAGTCACTTCTCACGTGGACGGCATGGTACGGAGGGAGGTATGTGGTGACAGTGTGTGACAGCTTCATGTGGCAGGACTATCGTGGTTTCTGGTGGGTGGTGCTTGTGTGGGTCTCACGTGGCAGAGTTTCACATGGGCTGAGGTTCACTGGGCAGGTCACCATGGGGGTGTTTCCTCAGAGCAGGCCTGATGTGGGAGGGTCTGTGGTGGGAACATCTGCGGTGGGGGCCTCTTGAGGATGTCACTCAGGGTACATTTCCTGTGGTAGGTATCTCTTTCCTGGGCTCCGCTACAACTACCTTCCAGCCTGGCACATGGCATGAGTGGAAGTGGGGTAGTGGTCCAGGGAGGGGTAGGGTCTCCTACAGCCCAGAACCTGTCACCTGTTAGGACACTGGGGGGAGCCCTGAAGAAAAACCACATTCAGGGGTCCCTCTCACCCTCTTTCCTTCGCCCATTTGGGCAACAGGACCCCAAAATCCAGTAGGGAAGGAATTGAGGGAGTTTTCATTTCTCAGCCTTTCCTCCTGTGCTGGCCCACCCTGGTCACCCTGCCCTACCCCACACCCCTCCTCAGCCTCAGCAGATCTGAACAAATAGCCTTGAGCTAATTCTGGCCCTGGCTCCAGGCGGTTCAGCTGGAATAGATACTGAGCCCTGAGCCATTTCCACTGCAGCCCTGCCGTGCTGCAGGGCCCCCAGTGGCTGCCGCTGGCCCTCAAATTGCATCCATATCCCCGGGAGGCTGCAGGAGGGGTGGGGAAGCAGCCAGAGCCAAGGTTCCCAGAGCACCGGGAGGGGCGCCAGGAGCTGGGGCACTTGGTTGGCTCAGCTGTGGTGGTGCTGGGTGAGTGACCTCAACCCACGGCCCCTCGCCCCAGTCCTCATTTATGGAAGGAGGGTGCACCTCCTGGTCCCCAGGGCTGTGCAGCCTGGAGGTACCCCTCTACAGGCATCACAGGAACAAGGAGATGGTGGAGGCCTCCAGGCCTCGATCCCGCCCCCTGGCCCCTATGCTCCTGCTGCCACCTGCCAGTGGGGAGTCAGGCTAAAGGGATTTTCAAAGCTCTGCCCAGTTTCCCTGTCATGGTCCTGAGTCTTGGGCAGAGTTGAGCCCTTTGGCTCTGATTGTCTCCTAATTGCTAAATGACGGCTAAGCTAGCAGAGGCCTAGCGGCCATTGCCTGGGTTTCCAGGGAGATGGGGGGTTCAGAGGCGGGATCAGGGAGGGAATCCAGCGTCTATGCTATGGATGGAAGTGACTGGGCCCAAGGGCTGCTCTAGAAGGTCTGCAAAGAAAGGGGTTTGGGGCAGAGATTGGTTGGAAGAGGTGCTAGACGGGGTGGGCTCCTGCCTTAAGAAAAGCAGCACCGAATAATGGTTAAGAGTTTAGTCCCTAGACCCAGACAGCCTGGGTTCAAATCCTAGCATCACCCTTTACTAGCTCTGTGACTTTGAACAAGTCGCCCAACCTCTCTGCTTCCTTACCTGTAAGATAAAACCCATTGCTATTGAGTTGATTTCAACTCATGGAGATCCCATATGTTACAGAGTTGAACTCCATAGGCTGTCTGTAATCTCTATGGAAGGAGCCCTGGTGGCACAGTGCTTAAAGCACTTGGCTGCTAACCAAAAAGCCAGCAGCTCCACCAGCTGCTCTGAGGGACAAAGATGTGGCAGACTGCTTCCATAAAGTTTAGACTTGGAAACCCTACGGGGTAGTTCTACTCTGTCCTTGACAATTGACTCGATGGCAGTGGATTTAATCTTCACAGGAGCACATTGCCAGGTCTTTCCTCCATGGCACTGCTGGCTGGGTTCGAAATACCAACGTGTAGAGTAGCAGCCAATAGCAAACTGCCTGTGCCACCCACGGACTTTTCTGTAAGATAGGGATGATCTTAACAAGAGCCCCTACCTCAGTGGGTTGAGTGAATATTTTTAGTTAACACGTGCAAAGCACTTGGAACTGTACCTGTCATGTGCTAGGAGCTGTTGTTTTGGTTATTATTGCCTTGGAGCTGTATTTATATAATCTTGCATGAGATTCAGGAGTCCCGGTAGAGCAGTGGTTAAGTGCTCAGCTGCTAACTTAAAGGTCAGCAGTTCGAAACCACTAGCTGCTCCATGGGAGAAAGATGTGGCAGTCTGCTTCTGTAAAGATTACAGCCTTGGAAACCCTATGGGGCAGTTCTGCTCTGCCCTCAGGGGTTGCTATGAGCAGGCATCACCTCGATGGCAGTAGGTTTGGTTTGGATTTTTTACATAAGACTCACAATGTATCGACTGTCCCTATTAAAGGGGTACACAGGGACATTATGGGAAGAGCCGCCTTCACTTTAGGTCCTCCTTGGTACCCCACGTTTGAGCAGGGAGCCTGGGGTCCCCCCCGCCCCATGCTGGGATCACTCAGAGGGAACAGGCTTTAATGGGGAGGGAGGAGGTGCTCATGAAAGCAAACAAGAAGTCGTTGCCAGGAGGATGCGACCTCCTTGTCTTTAATTGCTGAGCTGAGCAGTCCTCCCAAAGAATCATGGGAAAAGGGATATTTTTGGAAATGCTTCCCATCGGATGCAGCACGAGGGAGGGCATGAAGGAGAGCCTCAAAGTTCTGGCAGTGCTTCATCAGTAAATGAATTAATGAGTGCCTAATGATAGAGTACAACTCTGGGGCCCTACTTGCTACTGATTACAGGGCATCCTGAGCATGCTGGGCTGGGGCACCTGGGAAGGGGGAGTCCAACAGCCCTGCCTAGAAATACTGACCCGTGTCAAGGGGACCAGTATCCCCAGCTCCTCTCCAGGGATAGCAGAGAGAAGAGAGAGGGAGCCCAGACGGCACGTCCCCCAAACCTCCCATCTATCCTATCGGTAGAAAAACAGAGGGCCGGAGCCAAAGGTGCTTTACCCAGTCACAGCTGGAGCTGGGGCTAGAACCCAGGACCCCTGGCTTCCATTAAGGCAGGGCTGGCAAACCAAAGAGCATGTGCCCAGGCACTAGGACTTGAATAGCTTATTCAGGGCCTCTCTAGTAACCCTTTGGGGCAAGAAGGAAAGGAACTTGTGGTCAGGTTTGGGCAGGGCTCTGATCACAGACCCCAGCAGGCCCCACCTGGCATATGAACTTGACCAGGAGGTAGTGGGGAACCACCCAAGGGTTGACTCTAAACATGGAGTGACAGGGTCAGATCCGAGACCAGAGTTAGACATGGGGGTGGGGGGGAATGGTGGGGAGTAGGCGGGGAGGGAGAGTGTAGCCTGGACCAGGGCACTGGGGACAGAGAGCAGCAAGGGTCAGGCATGAGAATTATTTTAGAAATTAGACTGACATGACCTGGTGCCATTGGGGGTTATGGACTCCTGGAAGCTTCCTTCAGTGCACCAGCCCTAGTGCTACCTCCTTCCTGGGAGCTCCAGAAGGTCTCAGCGCACAGCACAGGGAGTGGGGGAGAAGGAGGGTTCCCAGGGTTCTGACCCTCCATCACAGAGTTGTGACCTTGGGCAGGTTACTAGCTTCTCTGGGCCTCAATTTCCTCATTGGAAAATGAGCCCAACTAAGTGGGAGGCCGGCCTAACTGTGCTCCCACAAACCCTCCTCTTTGAATCATCTGGTCCTCCTATGCCCTCTCTTCTTCCTTCCTTCCTCTCCTTAATTGCCACTTCCCTCCCAGTCTTTCTCTTCTTCCCTGGGCCCCTCTCATGCCAGGATGTGGGTTACAGACCCAGACAATCTTCAAGATGCTGCTCCCCCAGCCTCCAGCCCAACCCTGATGGTGCCCCAGGGAAGGGGCACAGTCATGCTCCTGGTTTGGCCCTCCCTCCCCTCCTTGGCTCTAGCCCCCTTAGTTTATCTGGTAAATGGTACATCGGCGGGAGAAGGAATTTGGGAGTTTTGAGCTGGAAGAAGTCTTGAAGCCGTGTCATCTCCCCCTTGACCATCAGATGAGGGACTAGAGGGCCCTAGAGTGGGGGGAATGTGTACCAGAAATAAGTTGGTGAGTCTCAGGGCAAAAGGCTGGTGTCTGCGTTCACCTGGGGTCCCTCTCAGGGCTCTGAACTCAGGGCCCCCAGAACCCAAGGACCCAACCCCAGGGCTCTGAGCCCACCCTCCCTCAGATAGGGCAGGGCCCTGCCTTGCAGCTGTTGCTTTCTCCATAAGCAGAAGCCGTGAGTCATTGACAGGGGACAGCAAATTAATTCTGAGGGTGGCAGGAGGTGAAGCAAGGAGCTGCAAATCCCAGAGGTGTGGGGGACCCAGGGGAGTGAGCTGTTTACTTGGGGATCAAGTATCAGAACAGATGGGTCAGTCCTCCCCCACCCACCCCACTTGTGGGCCTGGGATGCAAGGCCAAGCCCCCTGCCTAAGTCTCTCACATCCTGGATGGTAGGCCCAGACAGGCCCCATGAGCTCTCTAAGCTCAGGCTTCTCAGCTGCAAAGTTAGGGCCATTCTAATAACTCCAGCCCTATCCTATGGACAGGGTTCAAGCAGACTAAAATTTCTCAACTGCAAAGGAAAGTGTCAGACAGACCTGGATACTAATTTCAGCTTCGCTACTTCCCACCTGGGTGACCTTGGCAAGTTCTGTATCCACACTGCACCTCAAAGGCTTGGTTATATAAGAGTTGATAGTGTCTTGCAGGGGGTTTGTGAGAATTAGCACTAAGGAGCACAGACTGGCTTTTGGTAAATGGTGGCTGTAGTCATGAGAGGTATCACCACCACCACCACCACCACCACCATCATGATTATTTCCCCCACTCCCAACAAGCCTCAAGTTCTCCCCATCCTTCCCCACCTCCCAGCAGGTGATCATCTCTCCACCTCTTTCTTACTTGTGGTGTTGTAGCGGACACCGTAGAAGTAGGCAGGACAGGGCCGAACCACCAGCTGCCCTGCAGAACTCTGGGGCCAGCAGGTGCCAATGAGGTCCACAGATGCATTGCACTGCAGTCCTGGGGACAGAGACAACTGGTGAGGCAAGGTCCCTGCCCACGGCCCCAGGAAGACAGAGGATACTCCAGTGACCTGCCCACCTCCCTGCTGCCCCACATTAACACATCAGCTGGAGACAAGACAAGAGCAATAACCCCAGTGCAGAAATGAGCTTGTCCCATGCAGTCTGGGTGCAGACTGAGGAGGCACCCCAAGGAAGGAATCTGAATTTGATGCTACGGCACTAGGAGACACTGTGGGTTCCAGAGCAAAGGAGGAACAGCGATGGCTTGAGATGGTGTTCAAAGCTAAGGTCCTGGTTGGCATTTAGAGGAAGAACAGACTTGCTTCAAGCCCCCTGCTCTGTAGTCTGATGACACTTCTCTCAGCCCCTCACTTGGTGACAGAATGGAGCTCTGAGACTTCACAGGGACTGGTGCTCCCTGGAAAGGAGCTCTGGGGGCACAGTGCCTAAGGCATCTGACTGCTAACCAGAAGGTTGGCAGTTCAAACTCACCAGCCACTCTGCAGAAGGAAGACTGGCCAATTGACTTCCAAAAAGACTTACCACCTTGGGAACCTAATGAGGGTTGCTATGAATCAGAATTGACTCGATGCAGTGGGTTTGGTTTTTGGTTTGGTACGCCCTGGAACAGGCCTAGCCCACCCCGTCCCAGCCCCATTCCATGTCTCTGCAACCAAACCACATGCACCCTGCCCCTTCAGCTAAATAAAGTGCTCCAACTTCCAGCTGATCTGATAACCACATTTACTGATTGCCCACTGTTTGTGTTTGGGTCTGTGCTAGGCCCTGGGAGAGGGTTGACTGAGAAGAGGACCATGGAAGAAAAGGGAGGAAGGTGCCATCTGGGGGAAGTGGTAAGTGCACTGAACTGGGGTCTGGACGCTTGGCTTCAGACGGGGCTCTGCTACTCATTTGCTGTGACCTTAGGCAAGTCACTTCCCTTTCTGGGGCTAGATGAAGTGGTTGGACTAGATCAGAAGTGTTTTATCTTAGTCTACTGGAGACTTCAAGGCATTCATAGAGGCCCTAAAAGTAAATGAAAAATTTGGTGCATACGTACTTTTAGATAAGTTGGGCCCATGGCTTTTGACTTTCATTAGATTCTCAAAGGGGTCTCTGACTCAAAAAAAAAAAAAAAAAAAAAAACCCAGCTGCCATTGAGCTGATCCTGAGTGATGGTGACCCCCATGTGTCAGAGTAGAACTGTGCTCTGCAGGGTTTTAATGGATGATTTTTCTGAAGTGGATCACCAAGGCTTTTTTCTGAGCTGCCTCTGGGTGGACTTGAACCATCAACCTTTCAGTTAGTAGCTGACTCTGTTAATCATCTGCACCACCCAGGGCTTCTTGTGACTCAAAGAGGATATAAACAGCTGAACTAGATACCAGAAAGAAACACAGTGGCCATGAAGTCAATTCCTACTCATGGCGACCTCACAGAAGATGTCAAAGGCCCCTTAATTAAAGGGTGGAGTGTGTGTGTGTGTGTGTGTGTGTGTTGGGATAGGGTTGAGGCGACCAGGACACCTCAGAAGGGTAAGAGGTATATGGCTCAAGTGGGGAAAACAGAGCTGGAGAGCATCCTATCGCCCCTCCTGTGTCTGCCTCGTGACACCCCTCTCCCACATGAGGCTAGTGTGTCCATCACAAAACATGAGGCTGCACAGACAGCCAGAGAGAGCCGTGAACTAAGGCGGGGAGCGCTCTTCAGGGCTGGGCACCAGCAGCTGCGGAGGCCTGGCTGGGGCTGCCTGCTATCTCCTCCCCAAATTAGCCTGTCCCCAGCCTCTCTGGAAATGGCACTGGGTTAAGTTGGCTTCCTTTCCCTGCTGGACTCAGGGCAGTGCTGAGAAGGCCTTTACCAAATGCTAGTTTCTCTTTCTAATCAAATCTATTCATAGGGTGTGCATGCAAGTCAGGGCTCAAGGGACGGAGGCCTTCAGGCCAAGTGGTTTAATTGAAAGAGAAAGAAGTCTGGACTGAGCTTAAGGGATACGAGGAGCCGGCGGGCCAGGTGCCTGGGTGGGCCAGCCCGGTGCCTCCTCACAGCCCCAGTGAATGGCATCAGGAAGGAGGACTGAGGGGGCAGGGTGAGGAGGGCATGCGTGACAATGGCACGCCAGGGCTGGGGTTTTAATCCATCGTGGATCATGCCGAGTGCTGAGCTAGGGGCTGGGGCTGAGCAGCGGCATGGAGTAGTGAGAGGGGGGGCAGTAATAATAATATGAGGAGCCCTGGTGGTGCAAGCACTCGGCTGCTAACCAAAAGGTTGGGGTTCGAACCCACCCAGCTGCTCTGTGGGAGACTAGACCTGGATCTGTTTCCATACAGATTACAGCCTAGAAAGCTCTATGATGTTGTTGTTGTTGTTATGTGCCGTCGAGTCGGACCTGACTCATAGCAACCCCTCCTTGGGTTTCTGAAGCAGTATCACTACGGAAGTAGATTGCCCAACCTTCCTTCCGAGGAGTGGCTGGTGGGTTTGAACCACCAGCCTTCTGGTTAGCAGTCAAGTGCCTTAGGCACTATGCTATCAGAGCTCCCAGAAAGCTCTATAGGGCAGTTCTATTTTCTCAGAATTGACTCGATGGTACTTAACAACCACGCCTACTGCTATCGAATAGATTTCCACACAGAGACACTAAAAGGACAGAGTACAACTGCTCCCGTAGGGTTTCCTAGGCTGTAAATCTTTATGGAAGCAGATTGCCACATCTTTCTCCTATGGAGCAGCTGGTGGGTTCGAACTACCAACCTTTCAGTTAGCAGTCAAACATTTAACCACTGTGCCACCAGGGCTCCCAGCTTAACAACAGCAACAATAATATTATGGACCGTGCCTGCTTTTCCAAAATGCTTCCCCATATGTTCATTTGATCTTCACCCACCCTGCAATGCCATTATTTCCTTTTCACAGACAGGGAAACTGAGGCCCAAGGAAGTGAAGCTCAAGACCATGAGCTGATGAAAGAGAGAACCAAGATTCACGGGCAAGTGTTTCTGATTCTAAATCAGGGGCTCATTCCATTGCACCACACTGTGTACCAGTGAGGTGTGGGCAGTCACGGAAGGGAACAGTGGTTGGCTATTGAGTGCTCTCTGCCAGGTTAAGCACTCAGCTGTTGAAAGAAAGGTTGGCAATTTGAACCCACCCAGCGGCTCTGCAGAAGTAAGACCTGGCAATCTGCTCCAGTAAAGATGCAGCACAGAAAACCCTATGGGGCGATTCTGCTCTGTATACGGAGCTGCTATGAATCTAGGGAGCTCTGGTAGCATAGTGGCTAAGGCACTTGACTGCTAACCAGAAGGCTGGCGGTTCAAACCCACCAGCCACTCCTCGGAAGGAAGGTTGGGCAATCCTACTTCCGTAGAGATACTGCCTCGGAAACCCAAGGAGGGGTTGCTATGAGTCGGGGCCGACTCGACGGCAAATAACAACAACAACAACATGAATCTAAATCAACTTGATGGCACATAACGCCTGCCAGGCAGGTGCCAAGTGCTTTACACATACCGTTGCATTTAGTAACACCATCAGACTTTCCTCGTAGGTTGTTCATTCATTCACAGGTCTCTACAGAGCCCGGCACGGGGAGGATTAAATGTGATGTCCTGTGTGGCAGGGCCTGGAAAGATGCCTAGCACTCTGTCAGCAGAATGTCTGCCCTCCCTCCCTTCTCTTGCTCTCTCTCTTTCCTTGAACAGTTTTCCAGATCCCCTTCCACAAAGAACAGAGGGTAGGGCAGGACCGGTATGAGATCCAGCCAGGACCCAGCCAGAGCCAAGGCAGGGACCAGCCACAGAGCTGATGGGCCTCCTGGTCTTGAAGATCTGGCACTAGTCGGTGCCCTTAGCCCCAGGGCTACTGAGCCTTGACCCTGCCCACAGCTGGTCGTGCACAAGGGCAGAACACAACTCTAGTCTGTGGTACGGACGGGAGCCTGCACACACTGGACCACTTATGTGTCTCACACCCCTGCTGATGGGTGATAACCTAATGTACAAAATAACCTTGGGAAAGAGTGTCAAGACCCAGAGACACAGCGCAAAATACACCAGCCATCTAGCCTGAGATATTCCAGGGGGGTCAGCCTGGAGAGAAACAGGACCCAGCTGGTGTTGGTGCCTTCTAGAACCAAAGATAAAATTTCACTCATAACCAAGCAGCCTTTCTTTGTCCTTTTGCATGGAACGAAGGACCCCATCCTCAGGAAATGCAACGTGTACATGACTGTGAGCTAAAGTCCACCATATACACATTCTAGATTTACTGCCCCGGGGCAGGCAGACTTCAGAGTCTCCTGAAACCCGTCCATTCCCTGCTTCTGCAAGAGTGATAAAGTTCCTTCTTCTCTCTTCTCTCAGTGTGACTGAATTGACTCTGTGTCGCTCCAGGCACGAGCCCACATTTGGGTCACGGTGGGTGCTGCTGCTGTTGTGTGCTTTCAAGTGGATGTGGATTCCTGGCGACCCCGTGTAACTGAGCAGAACTACCCCATAGGGTTTCCTAGGCTGATTGATTTACAGCAGCAGATTGTCAGGTGTTTATCTTGTGGAGCTGCTGGTTGGGCTTCAACTGCTGTTTCTGTTAGCAGCCAGCTGCTTGACCATTGCACCACCATAGCCCTTTTGACATGCTATTACTGCCAAGAGCTCTGGTGGCGTAGTGGATAAGGTATTTGGCTGTTAACCAGAAGTCAGCAGTTCAAACCCACCAGCTACTCCGTGGAAGGAAGATGGGGCAATCTACTTCCATAAATATTTACAGCCTCGGAAACCCACCGGGGGTCACTATGTGTCGGAATCGACTGGATGGCAGGGAGTTGTTTTTGTTTTTCTGCTATTACCTCCATTTAACAGGAGAGTAGACTGAGGTCTCAGCAGTCAAATGGCTTATCCCAAGTCACACAGATACGAAGGCAGAAGTGGGTTCGGGCCACTGATCGTTTACCATAGCCAGCCCAAGGCTCTTCCCACCGCACCACAGCTGGCCGAG